GGGGGGGGTCGAGGATCATAGGGTGACTACGGGAATTATGCCGAAAAAGATGAGATAAAGTTGACCATGACCCATGGACGTTCGAAAGAGAATAGAATTACTAATTCTACGAAAGAAAATGACATTTGAATGAGTGTATGTAATCGTTACAAGCTATTTGGGTCAGGTGTACTGCGGAACGTTTCGGGCGGGGGCATAGTATTGTAACCGTTCTATTTACGGCGAGTAGTGTTCGTGTAGATCGTCGAGGGACCTGTAGTAGCGGCAGCAGGGCGGCTGCTGCGCGTGCGCGTGCCGGAAGTCGTCGTCTATGTCGAGCACATTAGCGAGCAGCGACTTGGAGGAGCGCTCGCGCAACTCGAGATCGGGCGGGGGAGGCGCGCGCGCCGGCGGCGGCGTCGTCGCCGACCCCGGCCGCGACATTCGCAGGATCCACGGCAGCCAGTACAAGAACACGCACCGGATCTATACATAAAAATATTGTTTGATAAGTTTGATAGGATTTTGTAAACAAGAACAGAGTGTATTGAAATTCTAAATATTTTGTGTTAAAAGTTGTATTTTCCCCTGAAGCAATAGTGAACACGGTTTCAAATCATTGAAGAAAATACAAATCGGAAATCTCTCTGGAAATTGAAATGTGCAACGTGAAAACATACCCAATCACTCATTTCGTGTGTGTCTGCGTGCCGATGGTGGTAGTTGAGGATAAGTATAGTTGATACGACTGAAGAGGCCACCATGAACATGATGCAGTTGAAATATGTACCCAGAAGTGGAACTGCGTCTGAAGTCGCCGGCATTGTCTCCGCTACCATGTTTAGAAACACCGTCAGCGACAGCAGAATTGTTACACCTAAACAAAAATGTAGTGCTCATAAATATTGAAAAGTAGCAACATAGAGTATTGAATAGAGAGTACATACCTAAAGAAAGTTTTTCGCCGGAGTCGGGTGGTAAAGTGAACCCCAAAAGTGCCATAGAGGCGATCAACACGCAGGGTACGATAAGATTGAAGAAATAGTACAGCGTTTTCCGTCGGATCACGACTGCAAATGTGATATCGATGTACGGCTCCGGACAGCAATTGTAATAGATCTCATTTCGCTTCCCCGGAACCCCTAAGTAAACACACAATAAACATAACATAAAAATCGTTTAGTTCTAATTAAAACTTTTGAAATTCAATACTTTTTACCCTTTACCTATTAGTTCCCATTCGCCGTTTGTCACAAAACTGCTTATATCACCCCCGGCTTCATCTTGTAATTGCAAGTCAAGCTAAAAACAAAGGGAATTAAAAGAATGTAATAAACAACGTCAATTCTAATTGTATTTGAATTTAACGATTAGCATATCAACTTACTTGGTATCCATCGTATGTCCAGCTGCCAAACTTCATCTCGCAGCGTTGGTCGTCGAAAGGGAACCAGGTGATATCAATTTTGCAGGTGCTTTTAAAGATACCCGGCGGCACGTACAGACACGAGCCGTTGTTACGAACCACCACATTAGTCGGATATGTGCTATCAAATCCTTCGTCCGCGCTTTATAAATAAATCAATAATTAGAATTATATTATTTCTAATTAATTTAATTTTATAGTGTGTAGGTTTAAATGTTCTGATTTAATTTGTTTTTATTTTACTAATTATTTATTCTTTCAAATTCGCAAGTTGCAAACAATGTTAAGATAGTAGGCATAGAAAGTCGGTGATGAAAACAAAATGGTTGCGTTTCTTTTAGCGAATGAAAGTAAATAAACGAATTTGTGAATGAAGAGTATGATTATAATTTGTTAAGTCGTTGTATATCAGTTTGAAAGTCAACCTACCTATTGTACATGAGTACGTCAGGTTTCCATAACCTGTGAGGTGGTACTCGCAAATCTTTGACACCACCAAAGTCCGAAGTGTTCCACCTTAAGTTCATATCATTCCATTCCTAGGAACAATCACCATTGTAATTTGTATTGTATTTTTATCAATTGAAACAACGTATTTATAATAAGAACAAAATATTAACGGCTGCGGTTGTTAAGCGCCCGTACTACATTACAGAGAAAGAAAGGAACACTTATTTGTAATGATAACGGAAAAGTAAGGTTTAAAAATAGTTGGAGAAAATCAAAGGAAATAAAATATGAAAGATATTTTTCGTAATAAGTATGAATCCCGGCTGATAGTCGGATATTGCAAATACCCTGGCCGCCGCAAACCCCTATATTGAGACAAAATCAATAGGAACGCGATCCCAGTCACTGAATCGTGTATTCAGGGGTTTTAGAAAAAAAATATGAAACTCAACAAAAATGTTTTGTTATAAGAAAAAATAACAAGATTGATATAAAAGGCGCTTAACAACTTTGCAAGAAAATTACAAACAAATAATGATGTCAAATATTTTAGAAGTAAATGCAAGACAGGGCATTGCCCTGCAGCTGCCTTATAAAACTGACGTTTTACGTGAACGAAATGGTTACAACGTGTAGCCCTTAGTTATACTCACGATTTATTCGTAATGTGCACGCAATAGGCAAAAGCATCACTATAACATATTTTTAAAGTGATATTTAGATAAAGCCAACTGAAAGTATTATTACAATACTATTTAAGAAGGTGCTCTATGCAAATTAGGAAAAATACTTCATATCAGAGTCTCTAATTAATGATGTTATTTTAAAATTGTCAATTTAAAAATAATTATTTTCATTGATGTGTTTTTATCTTTTCTATGACGTCATACTTACTAATTTCAGCCAGATGTTAGTTATTAATAGCTGATTCTTCTCGTCCTGTGAAAAAACTTCTTGTTAGGTTTATTAACGTTAGCAAACATAATTATAACACAATTCTCAATCAATTGATAAAACATGATAATTAAACTGTGTAATGAGGGTGGTTATAAAATGTATCAAGTAGATTAAAAAATAAATGTGAATGGATATAAAAAAAAAAAACAGGAAAACAGAATTGAGTGGGCGTAACAACAAAAGTGAGAAAGGAGTGTTATGAGGGAAAGTTAGAAACATTTGGGAAACAAAAACTTGTGTCTATTCCACAGAAAGAGTTGAAAAACCAGAAAGATGATAGATATCATACCACGTCGATGATCTGCATGAGCGTGAGGCCGAAGGACAGTTGTAGCGGGTCGCTCTCGTTGACGACAGGCCGCTCCAGCACGTTGTAGTGGTCCAGCAGGTGGTGAAGCAGCCGCTTCTCGTGGTAACCACACCACACCCCTTAGTAACATATTTTTTCTTACAATCATTCGGCTATATTATATGAACTCAGATTGCGATAAGTAGCTTTTGTCATAACTTCAAGATATATTGCTTCAAAAGAAAATAAAGATCGAGAGGGGAAATATCGATAAACATTTCAAAAATGGACATTATGCTTAATTGAATTATCATCGCTTGTATGCGCTACATTGTGGATGTTTTGGCTATCATTCAAATGATACGAGGTCATTCGGTATTGAGGAAAATTTTTGCAAGGCAATTGAATTGCGATGCATTAACACGAATTGATTACAGCAGTTGAATGCTCAACGACGTTCCTCTCTCTTTGTAACTAGGCTACCGCACACATTAGTCACATCGGCATTCCAACTCCGCCTAGATTTGATTCTTTAATGTTCTGTACATAACCTGATAGTATAGTATAATAGCGAGACAACTAGATCACATGGGCCATGCCTACATTTCATTGACAACGAATTCATTTTAACACGTAAACTAAATAAACCTTTTATTGAAGCTATCCGAGATGTACAAAAAGAAACAAAGCTCAACGGAAATTCTAGAGTTTAATTTTACAAACATTACTGTTCTGGTCATGGAAATTGCCCACCACCGTTTACCTAACTTTGATAATTCAATAACAAAAGTAATTCGCTATAATTGTAAACATTTTTTGCTAGCATTTATACTATCTGGTTGTACCAGGCTGGTAACCAAGCGCTAAGCTTTCGTTTCGAGTCGATCTTCTAGACACTGACCATCTTTCTCAAAACCGATGCAATAAATATGCTGTCACTCTCTTACTAGTACATCAAGTACACTCTTATGTGGTTCACGGGAACTTCATAAGAGTCTGATAGACATCGTCGAGGGCCTCCCTTAGGGACGTTTAACTAATACTGGGTGTGTCCATTAGCGACAAGATGTAGTTAACAGTGACTTACAACATGCAATACTTGAGATGTAAGTTTGGAGTAAGAAAGGAGTTCTGAATACATTTTTCGAAACAAGATATCTTAGTATTGAACTGTTTGTGGCCGTCTTAGGCATTTTACTATAGTACTTTTTGAACTATAGTATACTACTATAGTAAAGTATAGTACTATATATAACTGTTATAAAGCTTATATGAGGCATAGGAAAAGTAAAATGGGGGTGTCTGAGCGTAACCCAGGACCGCTGAGAATTCAAGTTAGCATTCAGAAATACTAAAGTAACGTAACTATATCAATATTTTATGAAAGAAGAACTTTATGGTAATAAGATTAAGTAATGTGATCAGTTGGAAATGTTGTCAATAGAATTTGCAAATGAATGTTTGTTGGACAGGTTCGGGGATGAAACTTTAAAATTTGGTGAGATTTTTTTTGGTTTTCTCACAATTCATGTGTTATATGGAAAATTATGATTTAGTACGGGAATGAATGGAATATTTCATATGATCTTACCCCTCGGCCACATGAGGGCGAGCAGCAGCAGCAGCA